AATAAAAATAACTTCATATGATCATGAACTATATACTCATCAAATCGTTAGTAAAATTGTTTGTTTTAGCCTAAAACTACAAATAGTCTGTCTGCGATCTGTCTATTAAGGGAGAATCGAACCCAGGATTTTAAAGTTGTAAGTCCGTATACTTACCATTGGCTTATTGTGAGACAGTTAGTAAAATATATATAATGTTACCCAAACGATTGGGGTCACGGTTGAATGCCGACCCCCCTTCCCCCCCAAAAAAAGAAAAACAACAACAAATAAACACCATTTTATCAATTTCAGCGGTCAACCAGTAGCTCAGCGGTAAGCTTGAGGAGTCATAATGTTAAAAACTGAGGTTCGATTCCTCCCGGTAGATACAGTGCAGAAAGCCCATTATCCAGCTTTGCGCTTAACACAAACAATCAAACAAACAATTTCAAAAATGTTCGTGAAATCACACCGGTATTATTTTTATATAACGCGAGAACGTGATTAAGCAGTAATACTTAATTATTAAGCATTTTAAGGTTTATCTCATTGAAATAGTTTTCATGTAAGGTATTACTTTCGCTCTACGTACAGAGCTTGCTCTCGTCAAAAGTTAATATTGATTATGTTATTTCTCAAGTTCTATCGTTACTTAATATATATAAATACTTTTAATCATGTTTCAAAAAAGAAGAATGTGATAATACCTATCAGTATTACAAAAACAAACATGTACATTTACGACATTACAGTGGCGGTTCAGCAATGCAATACAATTAGGCCTAAGCTTACCTTTACAATGTCGGTAATATGGTTGCTGTTTGTACTGTAACCGAATTAAATTTTTTGTAGACGAGTGTGCACGAATAATTTAAAAAGCTTGTCTATCTGAACTAACACGAAACCTTTTGAATATGACTCTATAAGTATATATGCCAGTGCCAAACTTCCGTGCATATTTTCTTTTTTTTATTTCTTTCGTGCATACAAAAGAACTATTAATATAGTCTTGTTTTTAACTTATACTAAAGAATATATATATTACACAAAATATTAATGGAAACATTTGGAATGTGTTTACATGCTGGACTTTTGATAAAGTTGAATCCAATTATATATATATAGATCTTAAAAACAAGAAATCTGAGATTATTACATACCTACTTATATATTCAAGGCAATTGTAGTTGTGTACCATTTATTATTTATTCAAAGCACTCGTGGTTCAATATCAGCGTATATACGATTAATTAAACAAATATTACTAGATGATCAGGGCCGAATTAACATTTAATGGGGGCCCTAGACCCACGTAATATTTGGGAATAATAATAATAACCTACTTTTGGCGCTATTCTGCTACTTTTACGAACCTTTTTTACTTGGGTGGCCAGCAGGACCCCTGTATGGCTCGAGCCCTAGATGGCCTATGCGTTAATCTGATACTGCTAGAGATCCTGAGGAAACTCAAAGCTATAAGATGTTTCCAATTCCGTAAAAATACGAGTTCAGGTAATATGAGGTATTACGTTAATTAAACTGAAAGAAAACTTTATATACAATTGTAAAGTTTTAACCATGAGCTGCAGTCATAATACTAAGAAATCAAGTCAAATACTAAAAGAATTACAAAACAAAAAACTCGATGACTCTAGCGCTTTTGGAAGGAGGTTGAAGAAAAAAGGTTTGACTTCCGAATGCGATCGGGTTATCCCCTAAAGAAGGAAGGTCTCTGTTCTAAAAGTGTTCTGGTTACAGGGCATGTTACTTTAACTCATAAACAAATTAATAGATGGCGCCACCAATGCATTTCTATATTAAGAGTTTAGTCGTGGAGCGTAAAATTACACAATGAACTTTCAGTGCTATGGCCATAGCTGGAATCGAAACTCGAATTTTAACGTTGTAAGTTCGTAAACTTACCGCTGATCCACCAAGGACACTATACTTATAGCAGATACGCGAAAATTACATGACCTTATTTTGTAGATACAAAAGCCGTCTTTGAAAAAATAAACTTAACTGGGTATGAATACATTCTCAAACAATGATTCAAAGAAAAGGTTTTAGCTTACGGTAACAAAAGTACTGGTGCTAGTTGTGTAAGATTACTTTTTTATAAATTACGTAGAATATCATTAAAATTATTTTATGCAACATTACAGTCCATAATAATTTGCTAAATTTCAATTAACAATAAACTTTAAAGCAATGCCGTCGATTAAGTTGTACTTAATAATAATATAATCTTACGTTAAGCAGTGGTTAAATCCAATAATACACACCCTATGCTGATCTGGCCAATTTAGATTTTTTTTTTTTAGTGGCTAATGAATCCCGATCGTAGTTTCTAAATGACTAACTTTATATTATTATAGTGCAATTAAGAAGCAAAGGGAAAAACAACAACAACTCTGTTAGTCTCTCCCACGCTCAGCAGATATACTGTGCAGATTATGGCTTATTTTTAAGAAGGTTATCTTTAGGATACATTTCTCAGAAGAGTGGGAATGGTAGATTACATAGCATTAACTCTTGGTTATGGCCAGATGACTTTAGTAATGGCACAGTCTACCGCTAGAGGGAACTGTTAATGATGAGCTGTTAAAAATGAAATACCCAACTTGTGTTAGCCCACTAATAACTAGTCTTTTTTGTTTATATAGCGCAAGTAAGTCTGGCATTCCTGTTCGACTTCTCAATTAATGTAGAGAGAGCTGTCACGTGTTACTGTTTCCCTGTCTGTTATTCTCCACCTTTCAAGATTCATGGCAGTAGCTAATGAACCGTAAACACATAACAGTGAGTTAGAGAGGCTCTGGATAAGGGTCTTTCTTTGCGTGTACAATAATGATGTTTTTTGTTGTTTTTTTTAGTTTTGTTTTTAAATACTGTTATTATTAGGTGGATGCAGAATGTTTGATGTAAACGTTCATTTTTATCTACCCTCCCCTTTCTGCCTACATGTTTGATTTCGATGCTTACGTAATTGTACTGCATGTAAGACTCCTTAAAAAAAAATCCGTCGTAATGAGCAGGTTTGGTAAGTGTAATTTGCTTTTTCATTTCTGAATAAAGAGTTTTGTACAAATGAAAAGTAAAACCAAAAAACATGAAATAATTCAGAGTATTCCGACTTAGATAAATATCTGTTTTAGTAAAAATTGTAGAGTCGGCAGTTATAATATCTGTATTGATTTTTCGTACAATTGTGAAGAGAAAAAAAAGGAAGAAAGGAGAGATATAAAGAGAAAAGAACAAAATTTAAGACGAACCAGTTTTGAGTCTGATATTGATCTTTTTCTCATTCATTTCGTGTAGCTATATTCACTTTTCAGGACACAAGATAACAACTCAGACAAGAGCATTTTAAAAGACAGTGATATAAAAGATAACATTTTACACTGGGCTCACTGGAGTTCCTCTTTACACGGCTAAACTTAGGCGTGTGTGTATTGAGTTTATAACGAAAACTAGTTGAAATTATAACAATAAACACGCAGAAATAGTGCATCACAGAATATAGTTTCTGTTGTAAATTGTTTGCAAAGTTGTATTCAATCTGTTACGTAACCGAATTAAACAAATTTTCGATAGAATTTAAATTCTGAATAATTTTGTCACGAAAATATGATAGAAGAAAAAAAAAGTTAATTCGTACGTAGTATATTCAGAAGTTATTGCAAAATACCTAATAATTCTTTACATGATGGAAGTTTGAACTACTAAACTATTTGTTTAGTAGGTCAAAATGACTAAAAATTATCTTAAAACAAAAGCATCATACATTACTATTGTATCTGTATTATTGATCTAGTACGAAAATTACAAGGCTCAAGGCTTTCCGTTGCCTCATTGTTACAAAGAAAGTCGGTAACAAATATCAAACATGTCCTTGCGTGAGTATTAGGCCTTTAAGTTTGACAAGAGGTTGTCAAACCCACGTGGTTTTCCCGCCCTCTGTATTCCTACAATAATACACCTTTGGGAATGGTCTAGTAAATCAACGACAGCAGGAAAAAGCGTGAATGAAAAAGAAAAGGCCGATCCTATCAGAGTGCTACGAGTAATAGGATTTAAGTGGGTATCTTGTGGTCTCTCCATGAAAGGGGTATCAAATTGGAAGCCTTATCCACTGACCTCTCGAAAAGATAAGTCACAATCTCGTGACCAAAGAAGTTCACTTCCTGTAAATATTCGAGGAAAATGTGTTTTTCTTGTAATTATTTACGCAAGTATTTTTTTAGAATCCGAAAGAAAGAAGGGGAAAAGCCCTCCATTTAAAATAATTTATTGCGTCCAAAGTGATGTTTCAGTTCAAAACTCGTTATTTTACTGAAAGTAATTTGACACCTAACTGCTGAATCACTTAGTCGCAAAGCTGAACCACTAATTATACAACTGAAACTGTTTATTTTGATTAGAATTGTCCTTTATGTAGACTTTATTCCACTATCTACCGCTGCCTCAAAGTAGGACAGATGGGTGCATGTTATCAAGCAACTGAATAAAAGGCTCTTTTAGGGGGTTCTTATTCCAAAGTAATATTTTTAAAGCAGCAATTCGTCTACGAGGCGAGAGAACGTGAAAGGGACGCCCACATTAAAAACCAGTCTTAGCAAGCAAACCTTCCAGCATTTGTTCAACATCAACACTACTCGCTCAAGAGCTCGTCAAAAGAAACATTAAACCCTGTATAATTATCTTGCTCTTCGGGGTGATCGCTTCACTGGTCTCCTTACTAAGTTTGAATCATATTAGCAGCTGGAACGCAGTTAAGCCTCCTTGCACGTGTTTTTGATGCGTAAATGTCAAAATCCTTTTACATGGTAGGCGCGCTCATAGAGGCGCGGTTATCTGATTGCTACACCATCATTGGTTCTGTGAATGTATAGGCGACTCGTCGGTGACCATACCACGTGGTATTATGGGTGACGCCTGGGAACAGTCATGTTTGTTGATTAAGCCAATCTGAGTGTGCCGTATTTGGGGAACGAATATCCGCAATCGTTCTTGTTCAACCGCGTGTACAGTGCGTCTACCTATCCCAGAGCTTCACGTTACGGGTGAATCGAGACGAGAGCTTCTGCAGTTGGAGAGAGAGTTGTGTTGTTTTTGTTGCGTTCGTACTGTTGCTGACACGGTTAAACGTTGTTCGGGCAAATGAAGTCGACCTGAGTCGTTCTATTTTCATTACTAAATTCTTTAAGGGTTTACTAACTAGTTAAACTGACAATATTCGTGAAGAAACCCACCTTCATTGGATCAACAATTGCTGACGCCGATGTCAATGAAGTGTTTGCTTTACCTACTGTGAAACCGGATGTGTGAATAATAATCAAATCATGAAATTGGGAAAAAATTAGGTTTCTAAACATGAGTATGAGATTGAAAAGTTGACTGTGCATAACATCGATTCGCAGCACTTGTGTAACTGTATTTTTAAATAAAAGTTATTTATTATTAACGTATTTTTTAAAGGTATATCTCAGTTAAACAACTTAATTTTTGCTAGTGTATTTGTAAGCAATTAGATGAAGAAAAGGGGTTTAACCTGCTCAAACTGTATTCAATAATGGATTAATAACTGCCAGTCTGTGTGTTTTTTTGTGGTTTAAGTGAATCGACGTAAACGTACTTTGTATACCAGCATAAAGCGCTAAGCCTAATTTCTAACACTGGACTGTAGTATTTTAAGCAGAATGTATCCAGCTCGACACCCAGTGAGCTCAGCAGCTCTTCCTGTTGCGGTATGTGTGATATCCCTATATTTACATCTTTTATGTAATATATTTGTTTATTTTTTGTCTTAGATAGATTATTTTCATATTGTTTTTTTTAATATAGCCAGTTTCTTGAGCGTTAGCTTAGGCTTATCTCATTTTAGTAGTACTCGTACTAGTAGGCAGTTTGATCCATGTTATTTTTTGATAAAATAAGACAAAGGTAAAATTACGATAGCATAGGCCCAAAATAACTACAGTAATGTCTTTTAGTCTTCTTATGTTGTTGTGCTTATTTTAGCCTAGGCCTGTTAAGAAGTATAAGCTTAGGCTTAGCTAATTTTATCAATCAACCTTGAACTGTAGTCAAACGTGACTCAAATGACCTGAGATTGTTTACATCTATTTGTGTTGTAAAAAGTGTGAATTTCGTGTTGAAATTAATGATTGCCATAGCCTACAGGTAAAAAATGTACAGTCGTTTACATTTTACGGATACACAACAACAATCTTTCAGGCTCAGTATTTGGAAAGTAATTACAATTTGAGTCACGATTAAACAGGAGATTAAATAAAAAGTGTGAATCAAAGTCGTTGTTTAGATATTGAGATAGTTTGATTATTGTGTTAAAATTTACTTAATTCATTACTTAGTTTTAGGTAACATATAGTTAATTTTGCCGTGTTCCTTTTTTTTCTACATTTTCCAGGGCCCCCCGCCTCAAGCTGGGCAGCCTTTTAAATTTACTGTTGCTGATTCGTGCGATAGGGTAAAGGAAGAATTCAGCTTTTTGCAAACTCAATATCACAGGTATATCGTGGTAACAGTTTGGTGAAATACATTTACCTTTGTTATTTGTATTGTCATTAATGAATATATCATTATTTAAATAATAATTGAATAAGTTGTAACTGTATTATTTTAATTAGTATCACTGTGGTCGAGTATTTAAATATTCATTACACTCGTGGATTGTCTGCTTGAACATATTGGCGTTAATACTAGGTTTCTGGGAATTGTAGGGTTTTCATACTGACTTTGAAGAAGAATATACCAAAAGTTTTAAGAACTTAAAAAATAATAATACGATATCATATATTTTAATTTTTTTTTATTAGTTTATTTTGTCTAGTGTATGTGTATTTTACAGAAATTTTATTTATTTCTTATAGTGACTTAAATCGTGCCATTAAAAACAAGATCACTGATAAAACACTGAGTTACAGAAAATATATCATTATTTTCTTTTTTAGTTTGAAATTAGAGTGTGAAAAATTAGCCAGTGAAAAAACGGAGATGCAAAGACATTATGTTATGGTAAGTAAAAGTTCTTTATATAAAAATGCACAAAAAATAATTTTGATGAAAAAACTAAACATTTGACGTTAGGGTTAAGGAATATCATAAAAATTTTCAAAATTATACAGCTACAAATTTTGGTAAGTTTTTAGTAGTATGTAATTACTAGGCGGATGAGAATAAATAAATTTGATCTGATGAATAGAGATATCCAAATTTTGCTGTTAAAAAGTAACAGTTTGTAAGTTTAGCAGACAATTTTCCTTGTTGTTTTTGTCATTCAAATTTTTTTATGAATTGTATATATGATAATAATTTTTTTTAGAAATTTATAAGGTTTGTTTATGAATTGAATGAATCTGTGTTTTCCTCCAACGTTTTTTTTTTGTTTGTTTCACAGCTAATTATAAAACATTTCTCTTTTATATTCTTTTAGTACTATGAAATGTCGTATGGTTTGAATGTGGAAATGCATAAACAGGTGAGAAAATAAATAGTTCACGAGCTATTAAATACAGTTTTTTTTAGTATTTTTATGGACATTAAATTGAACATTTGCAAGTAATTAAGTTATGGTATTTGTTTTTGTTCCACATTACATTTTATATTATTAACAAATCGTTAGATGTCCATTTAAAATCATTTGATACTAAAGGTTACTTAACAGGTGTCGGATTGACTTTATTTCCTCATCTAGCTTCACTGTACGCGAACACGTGGGCGAAATCGACTCGACATGATGCCCGAGTAAAAAGTTAAGTAAATATGGTGAACTAAGCATTACTCACTAGCGGTTGAACCCTGACCTCAAGTAAATAAATTAGTGTCACAGGGCCCTAACAAGTCTTGAGGGATGATTATTAGCCCATTTGATGCATGCAGAGTATGATGTGCAACGTTTAGTAAGAATACCAATCAACCCAGCCGTCTGTGATGGTAGTGGTACACGTGGCCTGTTCATAAAAAGGACAGATGGCGCTACGAGAACCCTAGGTGAGAAGGCGGCAGCGGGTGTGCCAACCAGTTCCTGTGAATCAGCATTCTACTAGGTTATTAACATGACAGTGAATTGCTTTCCGCGCACTAATTCTCTGTGGAGAAGCAAGCGTAAAGCGTGAAAAATGGCTGCTGAGCGCTCGAACATGTAAAGCCTGCGACGATGTTGATGGCAGCAAAGAAACGAAGAGTTAAGAACATTAGGACATTATAGTATAGGAGTCACATTACGGTGTTTGAAGGAAAAGCCCGTGATTCAATTAGAGCTATTTCAGTAAAACTGTTATTATTTCAGTCACTTGAATGAGGCCTAACTACCATAGTTCCTCTTTGTCCATGTAGAACTCTTTAATTTGTGAATTCTCGGTTCTACTTGAAAAGATATTATAGGCGCTTGCATAGTTAAGTCATACAGGATCACCTTTATTACCACCACCCCCAACCACCTCCTTCCTGTTCTGTGACTTAAATCATTCAAGGCCGGTTTCCTATACCTCAAACAGTATTGTAGTGTGAAACTGTTAATAAATTTAAGATCATTCAAGCGTGAATCTGTAACGTACCGTTAAGTGACTGCATCGTTAGTGCGTTTTATTTGTATTATGTACGTTGTACTGCACGGATAAGTATCGTAAATGCTAATATTACTTGGATCCGGTAGGAATGATTATATGAATACTAGAATCTCATTTTCATTATTTTACAGGGCTGTTATTAAACCACCTGAACGCTTCGTAAAACAATATAACAAAAACTTTTCCTCTTTGTATCTCTACGTTTATCTGTAATTTGTAAAGAAAGTGTATTTAATGTTTTAATAAATACGATATATTAAACTCTGGTTTAATATTATCATCTTGCTTTAATCTATAATTGTGTATTGGATAATATCTTCCGGTATCCCACATCGGAAGCTGTATAATTTGATGATAATTGTAAGACACGGTTACGTAATCAATCATCCAGTAGATTCGTAGTTTTTCGTTTGTCACCGTTAGAATTAATTACACCGTACATAAACTGAAATATGTACAGAACACCACTAACCAACATTTCAATAACCATCTGTTTTCTTCATTTTAATGGATAGAGAAAAAATATTTTCCTGGTGTGAAGGCATTGTAGTCTATTAAAGCATAATGTTGGTGGTCAACCGTTAATAGTTATGTTCTAGTATTAAAAGTTGGTGGTCAACCGTTAATAGTTATGATCTAGTATTAAAAGTTGGTGGTCAACCGTTAATAGTTATGTTCTAGTATTAAAAATTGGTGGTCAACTGTTAATAGTTATGATCTAGTATTAATACTCAACAGAATGTGACATCTTTATTTATTTCTTTAAGAGACAGTAGGGTTTTTTTTATAATGGGTAGGATTACGTACGATTGAGGGTAGGAGATTTTCTCTCTGCATACGGTGATCGATAAAACAGTCATTGTTTTATCTATGACAATAAGAAAACGTGTCCTCTATCCACCTAACTGGGCTGTCTTTGCTCAACAAATATTGAATTTACTATCTATCCTAGCTACAAGAAAAATCTCTAGTGTACGGTTAACAACAGCAAAATGAAAGGGAGAGACTCAAGCCGATAGGAAAGCAGTCGGAGCTCTAGTCCCTTGGGAAAGAGGGGGGGAGGAGGTATTGAGTGGTAGTTTATATTTATCTCGGTATGAGTATTCTTTAATGAGGTTGTTCGTTTCACCAAAAGCCTTTTCACTATAGAATTCCCGTAAATTTATTTTTGTCACCGAACTCTCTGCATGTTATAAAGCGATACATACTACTTGTACTTGAATACATACTACAGATTAGCCCAATGTTTTTTTTTTTTAGTAGTCGAAGTGAAAATGAGGTTTAGGGCCATGTCAACTTTTGGCTATTTAATGTATTCTCGCTACATTCTTTTTGTTAGTGTTTAGAGAGAAATGGCTCTTTTATTTTTAAATTTCATTTAATTGAAGGAAAAACAGCACGCTTTAACGATTTTCTCTGATATAATTATAATTTCTGTGGAGTGAACGGTAATTTTTTTTGTTCATTGAATGAATATGTCGAAACAGATGTTTCTCTCGAGAGGAAAGCTCCAGGGGTGTGCTTCATAACCTTTTCATTTGTGTAGTAACAGAAAGCCATTGGAACTAAAGAACTTTTAAGAAACTGTCGAAGCAGAACTGCCTCGTCATGGTGTGATCAGTTAGTAGCATCTTTGTAACAAGATTTCAAGCTAATGCAATGGTTCAATAATACATATTTACTCCAAGGGATATTGTCTTCGGATGAACGACTTCGAAATGAAACTTTCTGAAGGGAATCGGTCGCGATAAAAGGCTTAACTAGGCAGCTTAGCTTGTTCGGGAATTGAAATATGAAAAAAAAATAGTATTTAGTTAAGTTTGTTTGAACAAACTATTATGTAACTATAGGAATAGTAGGGAAAATAAAAGGAATATTTTATGAATTAATTTCTCTCAGAGCACGCACTCTATATTTTTTTATTATATTAACGTTTCTTTGCAATTTATTTAATTAAAATACCAGAATATTATCAAGAAATGATAAAACCGTGTAAGCGGTGGGAACTGTTGACTGATAGCCCCCTCTCTATGAGTAGCAGTTTTAAATCGGGGGTGGGCAGGTCTGAACCTTGGAATACCTGACCTGGCTGTTTAGCCCGGTTATTGTATGCAATTGAGGTTGATATTACCAGTAACAGTCTTTCTGTAGATGTCCTTGTAAAAGTATCGTGGAGTCGCATTTACACCGCTTGATCCAAGAAGTGGCTTATACCGAGAAATCTTAGTCGGCTTTTGTCGGACTCCTTTAACAAAATAACAGGATTACCAGACTCGTCACTCGGTTTTACGTGCACATTGATATCAACGTTCATAACTGTATGGCTAAAGACTCGGTTTTACGTGCACATTGATATCAACGTCGATAACTGTATTGTTAATGTTTGGTTCGACTATCGTAGCTATTCCAGAACATTGTTTGAATACTTTAATCGTATAAGATATTTGATATTACTCGTACAGTTTTAACCTTTGTTTAGTATCTTGATTCCCAACCTGTTATTCTGTATAATTGGATAGCAAAATGGTTGGCTAACCATCTCCAACAGAAGTCACCATAAGTTTATGGATATAAGTCATGTTCTTACGTTTACGCTTTGCTTATAGTTATCTGTGTAATCATTAATACAATGTGCATACAATTTGGATACTACTTTTGTCACACTGAACATGCAATTACATCCGCGTATACATTTCCGTAGACCAGCGAGATAGAGGCCTATCTTGGAAACCTTTGGCAGTAACCATAAAAGCTTATTCTTTAAGCTTTTTAAAGCGTGAGTTACTGATAAAGTAAATGGCTTACAAAGAAGGTGTAGAGGGCTCTTCGTCACCACGTGGTCATCAGGGCCACGTTAATGGTTAGAGCTTTTTAGTTTCATGATAAGGACATTTAGAAGTAAACTCTTGATACGACAGCCCCCCGCCTCTAGTGGCACAGCGGCATGTTTTCGGACGTATAACGCTAGAAACCGGGTTTCTATATTCGTGGTGGGCAGAGCAACAAATAGCACATTGTATAGCTTTTTGCTTAACTTCAAACAAACAAAATGATACGATAGCACATTTCACATTATTCTAAGATATAACAAGTTTACCATATTTTTCGGAATATAAGAC